CACGAGAAAATTCGCGACGCCTTTCTCTTGATCCATGTCGTCGAGAAGAACGAACACTGCGACCACCGTATTCTCGACCAGAATCTACTTCATATCTGTTTATCAATGAAAAAGTAGGTTTTAACTCTAACCCTATGGACATGAAAATGGCAATGAAAATTACAGATAAATCCTACTTCAAGGTACAATCAAAGAAAGATTTTGACAAGACTAATCTAGAAGTCCGACAAAGCCATTTTCACCATCAACAGGCCCGTAGAAGAAGAAAAAGAAGATGAGGTCCCTACTAGAATTCATCTCAGAGGTTTTTGAAGGATCTTAACAACCTATTCTACACTGATTTACTCAAACTATTATTCAAAAAATGGCACTCACTCAGTCGACGAGAAATCACCTCCTCCTCCAGGCATATGGAAGTCATTTCTACTTCAATAGAACACGACTTTACCATGACCCTATACAGTATGGCCAACTTTTACCCCATTAAGACAGAGCATAATCGACAAATGCTTTTGATTTCAAGCAAAGTTACAAAAATTAACTTATTCTAAACTAAATAAGAGAAAAACAATCAAGGAAAACGAAAGAGAGATAACAAATACATGATTAACCGTTTTAAGCTGTAGATATTAACTCCAACTAGTAGAGACTTCAAAATCGAGCCACTTATTTCCAGCCTACTTGATACAAACCCATGCCAACCATCAATTTAAGTGTAAAAGATCAGTTAATTGTGAATAGAGAGTTAAATAGTATAGAATCAACTTACCGATCTTACTGACTCTCTGATTTGTCATCACGATATCGAGAGCGGTGACTCCCGAAATCCTCCTCTGGAAAGAACAATTACATCACAAATCAGACAAAATAGTCAGAGTGAATGAAAGCAAACTTACAACTTGACATTGAGAGAAGTATGAGGCAAATGTCTTTCTCCTTGTCCACAACAGATGACGCTTGGAATAAGGATAGGCATCAAACCATGGCCTTGACTGCGAAAACCAGGAAGTTGTTTTGGTGGGGAAGTTATTTATTTATTTCAGATGGCCGGCTTTATGATAGTTATCATTAGCCCTTAAACTCCGACTTCAGCATCCTCTAAGGGTAGGGGGGGGGGTTCATATCTACCAGTTCATTAGCTGTCTTCTTGCTTCCCAGTATCTCTGGCTTTTCGTGGTTGTCTTTATTGCTGGACACCGAATCAGGTGAGTCTTCCCCATTTCCTTCTGTAGGTTACATAGAGAGCATGAGGGTTGAGTGTATACTCCCAATCTGTGAAGGCGTTTTGCCAAGCAATCGTGTCCGGTACGAAGTCTAAACTCAGCAACGGCTTCGATTCTTGGCCAAAAGTCTAAACTCAGCAACGGCTTCGATTCTTGGCCATTCGGCTATGTGGTAGAGTGCCACTCTAAACTCAGCAACGGCTTCGATTCTTGGCCAGTCGGCATTGGCAACTGTGTTTCTCCTTTGTTCGAGCTTTAATTTCGTTGCCTGTCTATCTCCTGTGTTCGAGCTTTAATTTCGTTGCACCTTGAGGTATGTTTTCTCCTTTGTTCGAGCTTTAAATTCGTTGCACCTTGAGTTCTGGAATTCTCTTCTGATTAAGACCTTCATTGTGTTGAAAGACATCGGATCTCCTGATTAAGGCCTTTATTGTGTGGAAAGACATCGATCTCTCCTGATTAAGGCCTTCATTGGGTGGAAAGACATCGGCCGGGCCATGCATTGCAAAATTGTTGTCCCCTTCTTAGCGAGTGTGTCAGAATTGCACACTCGTTGTCCCCTTCTTAGCAAGTGTGTCAACTTCGTTGTCCTCTTCTTAGCAAGTGTGTCAGCAAGCTCATTACCTTCGATGACCGTTGATCAGGAATCCATTGTAGGACCACTGTTTTGTTTTTCTGTCTCAACCCGGAATCCATTGTAGGGCCACGCTTTGTTTGTTCTCTCTCACACTGACCAGGAATCCATTGTAGGACCACTGTTTTGTTTTTCTCTCTCACCAGCTCATAGAGTTTTCTACATTCCTTTACCTCAGCTGTTTTGAGTGGCTCTCTGCTTCAAATTGCGTTTATTGCTAACTGTGAGTCCAAAGGTATCACCGCTTTGGTGAATTTCGTATCCAGGCAACATAATTGGCATAGTGCTATCCTAATGGCCTCTATTTCTCCTTCAAAAGCGGATCTATTGTGTCCCGCTGCAACGTAGAAAGAGAAGAGTTCAGAATAGACACCTGCACCAACGTTTGCTGACCCATCAGTGTAGACTTGGAGCCATTGATCTCCAGGATAGTTGACATGGATTGTCTCAAGGGCCAGTGAGCGCATTTGCTCTGGAGAAGTGTTTGATTTCCTGAAGAAGTCGAGCCGTTGGGTGCAACACACTACATCAGTGTCTGCTAATGGGTTCATGAGTAGAGAGAGGCTTTTTCGTTTTTCATCGATTTGTAATTCTTTCTTTAGTTCTATGGCTTTCTGCATTAGACCAAATTGCGTTTTCAGATGTCTCGGTATTGTCTCATAGGTGCTGAAGAACTTATCCATGGGAATGCGCAGTAGCTTCTCATACAGGAACTTATCCATGAAGTAGCTTCTCATACAGGATCAAGGCCTTTTCTTTGATGAGGTAGCTTCTCATACAGGATCAAGGCCTTCTCTTTGATAAGGAAACCTATTTTGGTGTTTCCTGTAACTTGGAACATTGCATCAATGGGTGGTGATTTTATCCCTCCAGTAATTAGTCGTAATGCTTGGTTGTGTGCCTTTTCGAGGGGTTTGAGAGTCACCTCTGTGGCTGTAATGAGTGGCTCACAGCATTACAACATTATTATCTGAATAGGGGTGTGCGATTGACTTACCTCCACGTGGTGCACCCTTGGCAACGTATATTCATACGGCAAAAAAGTCTATTAACCGGCAGTTGACTTCTGACTTCAAACTACCAAGACCCCACTGCATTTCATATTCGAATAATACACAGTACTCACCTCATCTTTTTCTACCTTTGTGTCTGTCTGTCTCCTTTACGTCTGTGGATCATTATTCTGTCTCCCCTCTCGGCGTTTTGCCACTTTGATGTTTAACTTCTTTTCTGTAAAGCCCGAAGTCAACTAAAGGGCTAATGATAACTATAATAACGCCTGGAATTTGAAATAAATAAATAATTCTTTGACTGAATAAACAACATGTAATTGGTGTTGAGAGTTGAGCGTGCACTGCCCCATACGCTACCAGCAAGACGCTTCAGTACATTCAGTCTATTAGTGACTCGTTCTGCTATTTTAGCAATGTGACATTTCCACGTTAGCTTTGTGTCAAACGTCATTCCGAGATAATTGAACTCATTGGTTTTTTCTAGGATAATATCCTTGTACCTTTAAAAATGTTTGGAATGCAGTTTTCATGGGGTTGATTACCATTCCATTGTTGTTGTACCAGTTTGCTAGTTGTTTAAATGCATATTCTGGGCACTTTCTGTTCTCTCCTGAGCGTTTTCTTAGGGGCAGAATACCTTTGCATAAAGTAAGCACTTGATGCCCGTGACTGTCTGTAATTATTCGCTATGTCATCGATGAAGACATTGAAAAGAGTGCAACTTGTGACAGCTTCCTGTGGAAGGCCTGTTTGTAAAAGATTGAATTTTGATAGAGCATTTCCATATCTGATTTTACATTATCTTTGTCCAATGAATGCTTTTATCCAGTTTAGCATGTTATACTTAATACCAATCTTTGCCAATTTTAGAATCAGCTTCTCTTGCCATACTAAGTCATATGCTGATTTAAAATCAACGAAAACAGCCGTAATAGTATTTTTTGCATCAAAAGCATCCTTGATGTGTTGGGAGAAAGTGGCTTCTTGTTAGTGCGTTAATCTTTGCGGCCTAAAACCTGCTTGTTCACTCCTAACAATATTGTTGGTCTCAAGAAACCAAGTCAGCCTCCTTTAAACTATCTAAGTTTAGCCAGCACGCTTGTGAGGGAGATAGGCCTTTATGTTTAGCCAGCACGCTTGTGAGGGAGATAGGCCTATAGTCATTGCTAGGGTCTTTGCCCTTTTTTAGTACTGTTATTACTATAGCAGGGTCTTTCCATTGGTTAGGTCGAGACTGGTCTCCCAGATTTTGTTGAAAAGTGTCAGCATGACTGGTCTCCCAGATTTTGTTGTAAAGCGTCAGCATGGTTTACTTGGCCTCCCAGATTTTGTTGTAAAGCGTCAGCATGGTTTCCTTGTCTCCCAGATTTTGTTGTAAAGCGTCAGCATGGTTTCCTTGGATTTTGTTGAAAAGCGTCAGCATGGTTTCTTTGGCTTTTAATCCCGTTTAAATAAGAAATTCCGAATAAATACTGTCTTCGCCAGGAGTCTTTTTGCACTTTAAGCATTAAGTTCTCATGGTCTTAATGATTCAGTAAGTACATTATTTGGTGTTGTCGTGTCTTCCTTAATTTCACCAAACTGTCTTACTTGTTTCTTTAAATCTCTTGAAGATTTTCTGACAAAAGGGTTTTTCTTTTGCTTGTGGGAATAGAACGTCGCAAAGCCGTTAGCCATTTTGGAGTCCGTGTTAAGCTGTTTGTTTTTAAACGTCTTGGTTCTTTTTTGGGTCTGCCCCTGTTGATTTGGAGGTTACCCAGGAATTTGAAAGTACGTTGGCTATCAATTTGATAGTTGATATTTGAGATGAACTTGTCGAAGGAAGTCCGTTTAGCTTGTAAGATGGCTTGCCTTAGGACAGCTGATTGTCGTCTCCAGGCTTTTACGTCTTCCGTTCTTCCAGTCTGATCAGCAGTGTTGCGAAGGCCGTCCCGCTTTCTTTTCAATTCCTCAGGGTGCTTAGACCAAAACACTCGATAGTGTTTAGTCTTGCCTCGGGGACTTGTGTGAAGTTCATTCGCTAAAAGGT